AGTTGGTGGTAGGTGACCCCACTGCAATTACCCCTCCTGGTGATGGTCCTGGACTGAAAACTTCTGAAATCAGATCTATATTGATCTTTTCTTCTTCAGTGGCGCCAAACAAGTGGCGGTGAGTCTTGTTGGTCTTTAAAACCGCAAGGTGCCAACCTCCAGCTGTAACGCCGACCTACCTGCCCAACGGGTTCTGGTAATGGTGGAAAGCCTGCGACATAATGACGGCCCATTACTTCCCGGCATGCAGTCCGGACTACATCACCCCCCCCCCCAGCGAGGACATACCAAGGGTAGAACTAACTTCTCTCAGTCATTAGGTGGCAATGTGGTGGTACCGCCTCGTGGACACCAATATCTGCCTCTTTCACAGCTGCATCGAGAAATAACGACCCCCCCCGGACGCCATAACCAGCCGCAGATCACAATTTGATGACGATAACTTGACATTATGCAAATTTACTGGGAATGTAATCTTAGCCGGAGGCCTCCTTTAGATGTGGCCTCAAATTCCCGTCAGACGAGTCGTCTTCTCCTCTACCTCAGAGGGCGGCACTTGAGTGGCCCCGAGTGTTTGCATTGCCCTTGTGATGTCACAATGCTCGCCGCCTTCCATTGGAAGTCTATGTGCTGCTCAAACAACTCGTTACGCAGTAAATGTCCTTCAGTCTGATATGCACACCGGCTGTAGTGTGTGTGTGGGGGGGGGAGGGGTTGTATGTCTGAGGGGATCAGATTTCAGGGGCACTCCGGCTCAAACCGAACAATAAACCTCGAGGTGGATACGGAGAGCTCAGCCTACCTGCCAGTTCAGTTTTCATCCAGACATTGCCGTACTGCAACAGTCCCTTCTGGAACCTGGAGGTCCTGGAACACGCCAGCCGGAGATGCTGGAACTCCTTCATTAAAGAAAATAAATAAGTTTTGAAGCCGACAATCGGATTGGAGGGGATTGTACAGTATATGGTTGGTGGTGCACAGAGACAGAAGGTACAGAGTACGGCCCTCAGGACGTTCCCTCCTACAGACCCGGGATAGAGGTGTACTGTGTGTGGAGGATTCACCCCCATTACATATGTGGAGGCCACAGAGGGGGAACTTTGCTGACCTCGGGCTGCACGCAGGCACTGCTGGGAGGCCGATGTTTGTGCTGAGAGGGCGCTCCCGGCACAAGGACCCCTCTCAGTCCGGGCTAAAGATCCGAAGCTGGTGGTACCGGTGACCACTGACAGTAATCACATGATCGCCGATCCTTCCCCGCCCCCCCCCCCCCTGGTGTTTGGAACTGGTGGGGTCTCCAAACTACGGCCCTCCAGGTGTTGAGGAACCGCAAGTCCCATGAGGCCTTGCAAGACTCTGACAGCCACAAGCAAGGCTCCCAGAGGCAGAGGCATGATGGGACTTGTAGTACTTCAGCTGGAGGCCGCAACAGGCCGCGTTAAGGTATCACAAGAAAAGTGTTCCCGCGTGCGATCCTGAAAGTGCGAGTTATGCGCTTTTCTGCGTGTTGTGCGTCAGGCAGCCCATTCACTTCAATGGGCGGCAAAATACGTCTAACTTGGTTACATCCAGGGTTGCTGTTAGAATCCGTGGGGCCCCGTACAGCCGACCTGACAGGGCCCCCCAAAAAAAACAACCACAATTTACTATGATTCATTTATGAATGAAACCGGGGCGGGGGGGGGGGGGGGGGCAGATTGGCTTAGCACCATATAGGGGCGGCACTCTGCGAGGAACGCCCAATCACTGCGCGAGGAACGCCTGATCACTGCATGAGGAGTACCCGATCACTAAGCAAGGAACTCCCAATTTGTGGACTGATGGAAGTAAGATTGTTCTTTTTGGGTCTAGTGGGCGGAGACAGTTTGTCAGACGACCCCCAAACACTGAATTCAAGCCACAGGACACTGTGAAGACCGTGAAGCATGGTGGTGCAAGCATCATGATATGGGGATGTTTCTCATACTACGGTGTTGGGCCTATTTATCGCATACCAGGGATCATGGATCAGTTTGAATCCATCAGAATACTTGAAGAGGTCATGCTGCCTTATGCTGAAGAGGAAATGCCCTTGAAATGGGGGTTCCAACAAGACAACGACCCCAAACACACCAGTAAACAGGCAACATCTTGGTTCCAGACCAACAAGATGGACGTTATGGAGTGGCCAGCCCAATCCCCGGATCTTCATCCAATAGAAAACTTGTGGGGTGACATCAAAAATGCCATTTCTGAGGCAAAACCAAGAAATAGAGAAGAAGTGTGGAATGTGGTCCAATCATCCTGGGCTGGAATACCTGATCACAGGGGCCAGAAGTTGGGGGACTCCATGCAACACAGATGTACAGCAGTTCTCAGAAACAGTGCGACTACAACCAAATATTCATGAAGTCATTCAAAGGAAAGCAAAATCTTCAAACATTTCTCAGTTTATATAGTGAATGTTGGAGTTTGTAAAGAAGAATATACAAACACGGCCATTTTTGTGAACCGTCTAATATTCACTTTTCTTCCATTTTTTTAGAGGAACAACACAAATTTGATGTATTTTTCTTCATGTTGTGATTTGGAATAGAATGTGTCGTGTTCCCAATGCATTTGTGTGGATGGAAATAAAAGGATTAGAAGGATTTGCAGCTTTATTCACTTTTTTCATCACACGGATATTATTCTGAACACAACTGTATACCACCCACCTTTTTACCTCCCAATCCTCGGAGCTGTGCAGGCGGCAGCGTTCCCTCCTGGTGGGGGGCGCCCTAGCCGGACAGGTCTTGTGGTGATGGGCCAGACTAAGAGCGATACCGGCGTCCCCCAGTAGGGGGCGAGCTCCTTGATCTCTGGGGGGTGGTAATAGCAGAGTTATGCAGGACGACACTCATCCGGGTCGCACGCACTGCGACGGCGCTGTGAGGCTTCTGTGTGACGCTCCCAAAGAGATTCCTTATTACCGGCACAGAAACAGCGCCCCTTACAGGACATAAAGTGGAGCTTCACTCAACCAGCGTGGACTCGTGGACAGCGTGTAATCCTGATACTGCCGGCATTACAGACATAGGAAGGATTACATCTACTTGTTTTATACGTTTCTTCAGTGACTTCCTGGTTTCTGGCCTAGGCAAATGGTGTCATACATTCCAGGGGCCTTCAGGACGGGAGGGAGGCTTCTCAGCTCAGCCTATGCCTGAGCTAAGGGCAGAAGGATTCCAGGAAGTAAATGTTACATGAAACTCCTAGATTGTAAGCTCCCAGGATCAGCCCCTCCCCCTCTTAGATTGTAAGCTCCCAGGATCAGCCCCTCCCCCCCTTAAATTGTAAGCTCCCAGGATCAGCCCCTCCCCCCCTTAAATTGTAAGCTCCCAGGATCAGCCCCTCCCCCCCCTTAGATTGTAAGCTCCCAGGATCAGCCCCTCCCCCCCTTAGATTGTAAGCTCCCAGGATCAGCCCCTCCTATCCCTCTTGTATTGTTCTGTATTGTCTCCCTTATATTGTACAGCGCTGAGCAAACTGTTGGCGCCATAAATCCTGTATAATAATAATATAAATAATAATAACAGCTCTGCCACGGACAGAAACACCAGGGAGATGTTTTTCAAAGTGATTTCTCAGCAAAATAAAGCATTGAGACATGGATGGATGGATGGAGACATGGATGGATGGATGGATGGATGGAGACATGGATGGATGGATGGAGACATGGATGACATGGATGGATGGATGGATGGAGACATGGATGGATGGATGATGGAGACATGGATGGATGGATGGATGGATGGACATGGATGGATGGATGGAGACATGGAATGGGGATGGAGACATGGAAGGGGATGGAGACATGGGTGGATGGATGGAGACATGGATGGATGGAGACATGGATAAATGGAGACATGGATGGATGGATGGATGGATGGATGGATGGAGATATGGATGGATGGAGACATGGATGGATGGAGACATGGATGGATGGAGATGGATGGATGGAGACATGGATGGATGAGATGGAGACATGGATGGATGGAGACATGGATGGATGGAGACACGGATGGGATGGATGGATGGATGGAGACATGGATGGATGGATACATGGATGGATGGATGGAGATATGGATGGATGGAGACATGGATGGAGACATGGATGGATGGAGACATGGATGGATGGGACATGGATGGAGACATGGATGGATGGAGGCATGGATGGATGGATGGAGACATGGATGGATGGAGACATGGATGATGGATGGATGGACAGGGATGGATGTGGATGGATGGAGACATGGATGGATGGATGGATGGAGACAGGGATGGATGGAGACAGGGATGGATGGATGGATGGAGACATGGATGGATGGATGGAGACATGGATGGATGGATGGATGGAGACATGAATAGATAGATGGAGACATGGATGGATGGAGGGCATGGATGGATGGATGGAGACATGGATGGATGGATGGATGGAGACATGGATGGATGGATGGAGACATGGGATGGATGGAGGACATGGATGGATGGATGGATGGAGACATGGATGGATGGATGGAGACATGGGTGGATGGATGGACATGGATGGATGGAGACATGGATGGATGGATGGAGACATGGGATGGGATGGATGGAGACATGGGTGGATGGAGACATGGATGGATGGATGGATGGAGACATGGATGGATGGATGGATGGATGGAGCCACTAAGGGGGTGCAGTTGAGTGGGCGGGGCCTCTAATAGGGGGATGGGGAGGAATTTTGTGACAGGTGGACGGGCTGGTTTGGGGGCGGGGTCTCTCGGGAGGAGGGGGCGGGGTGTTGGAGGGCTCCCTGGTGACCGGTGCACGGACTACAGAGATCTGATCGTCATCCCGACGTCACTGGCCGGAGCTCCGCCTACATATGCGCCCCCTCCGGTCCTCCTCCCCTCTTCCCGCCCACTCCCTGGCCCCTCCCTCTCGCTCCGCCCTCTCCCTGCCCTCCTCCTCTCTCCCCGCCCCTTCCCCCCTCTCCCCACACATGGACTTCGATGGCAGAGTGTGGCCGCTGTCCGGCGGCTGGGGTCGGTACACCCGGCTGGTGTCGGCGGTCTCTTGGCTCCCCAATATCCTCCTGGCCCTCTCCGCCGCCTCCTCCAACCTGAGCGGGGGGGGCCCGGGGTGCGGGAACCGGACCGAGGAGAGAACTGACAACTACACCGGAGGGCTGAGCTGCTGGCTGGAGGAGACCATCGTCACCCAGGTGAGAGACCCCGCCCCCAAGGAGGTGAGAGCCTGACCCCGCCCCCAAGGAGGTGAAAGCCTGACCCCTCCCCAAGGAGGTGAGAGCCTGACCCCGCCCCCCAAGGAGGTGAGCGCCTGTAGCAGGGGGGCTACATTCCTACATACAGGGGGACCAAGGTGGGGGGGGGGGCTACATTCCTACATACAGGGGGACCAAGGTGGGGGGGGGGGGCTACATTCCTACATACAGGGGGACCAAGGCGGGCGCTACATTCCTACATACTGGGGGGACCAAGGGGGGGGGGGCTACATTCCTACATACAGGGGGACCAAGGCGGGGGGGGGGCTACATTCCTACATATAGGGGGACCAAGGCGGGGGGAGGGGCTACATTCCTACATACAGGGGGACCAAGGTGGGGGGGCTACATTCCTACATACAGGGGGACCAAGGCGGGGGGGGCTACATTCCTACATACAGGGGGACCAAGGCAGGGGGGCTACATTCCTACATACAGGGGGACCAAGGTGGGGGGGGGGGCTACATTCCTACATACAGGGGGACCAAGGCGGGGGAGGGGCTACATTCCTACATACAGGGGGACCAAGGGGGGGGGGGCTACATTCCTACATACAGGGGGACCAAGGGGGGGGGCTACGTTCCTACATACAGGGGGGCTACATTCCTACATACAGGGGGACCAAGGCAGGGGGGGCTACATTCCTACATACAGGGGGGCTACATTCCTACATACAGGCGGGGGGGGGACTACATTCCTACATACCGTTGGTAACGGACGTTGTCACCCTGTAACAGGAAGTCAGATCTCCGCAGTGATATAAATGGTATATTGCAGATCGCAGATTCTTAGACGGCTGCATTCAAATTTTGTTTCTTCTATTTTCATCTGGTGATCCAATCAGTAAGTCTGTTGTTTTTCAAAAGAACAAGCTGTCCTATAGATGTAGCAGTTAGAGGGATGAGGTGAACCATTGACCACTGACAGGGGTGCTGACAATGATCAGCTTTTATTTATCGATGGAAAATCTTCATCCCGAAAGGAACAAAAACTGCAACTGTATCGGATTCTAAAGTGTCAGCCGGAGTGTTAGTGTATCTAAATCTGCTAGTCCATCTAACACTCCGCAGACTGACAATGCTTCAGTCCAATGGTGCCCCCTGTGCTCCTTCCTCCAGAGTGGGGGGAGGGGGGGGGGGCGCTCTAATACAGGAGACGGATCACCAGGTGAAAACAGCCTAAAAAAATGAAAACAAATGCGGCCGCCACATCTGATGATCTGTGAGCTGCGATCTGTCAGATGAGTTCAGACTGGAATAGAACTTTGTGTTTTGTGACCCCTTCAGGCTGACAGGTTTTATGACGCTCATCTGCTGGTAATAGGGGCCCCCAGGGGAAGTCAGATTTGGCCCCAGACTTTCCAGCAGAGAACAGACTGCAGAACCGGTTGGGTAGTCGGGTGGATTTCAACACGTGGCAGAAGTATGTCCTCCCTGGCCCCGGGCCGTCTCTGCGCACTCAGGGGCCCCTCCACCTTCCACTGCATTCACATTTCATGTTTTTGAGAAATGGAGAAAATGTCCTTCATGGTGAATGAACAAAACACAGAACAGCCCACCGATTTAACACCGCATCGTCCGCCTTTGCACCGCAATTTTTTTTCGTCCGCCGTTGCACCGCATCGTCCGCCGTTTGCACCGCATCGTCCGCGCCGTTCTTGCAGCCGCATCGTCAGCCGTTCAGCACTGAACCGCATCGTCCTCCGTTTGTTTGACCCCTTACCGCATCGTCATCTGCTGGTAATAGGGGCCCCCAGGGAAGTCAGCTTTTGCCCCAGACTTTCCAGCCAGTTGCACCGCATCGTCCGCGGGTGCAGGATTGCAGTTGCAACCGCAGAATCGTCCGCCGTTGCATCTCCGCATCGTCCGCCGTTGCATTCACCGCATCCAATATTTTTGAGAACACGAGAAAATGTCCGTTGCACGAGAACACGCCCACCGATTTACACCGCATCGTCCGCCGTTACACCGCATCGTCCGCCATTACAGCGATCATATCGGAGCGATTCTGACTCAGCGGTAGCCACACGGATCTCCAGAGTAATACATGGATTACTTCTGTGTCAGATGACTTCCAGATCGCCCTGAAATCTGCATCTCACCCGACCTAGAAAAGATGTTGAAAGTTGGGTTCAGGTAATTCACCGTTCACACCGCTGCGATTTCAGCTCATCTCCCCGGACCCCCGCATTCCCTATATCCGCTCTCCCCGGACCCCGCATTCCCTATATCCGCTCTCAGGGGTCCCGGACCCCGCATTCCTATATCCGCTCTCCCCTGACCCCGCATTCACTTATATCCGCTCTACACCCCCGGACCCCGCATTCACTACAAATCCACTCTCCCCGGACCCCGCATTCACTATATCCGCTCTCACCGGACCCCGCAGTCACTACGGTTGATCCGCTCTCCCCGGACCCCGCATTCACTATATCCGCTCTCCCCGGACCCCGCATTCACTATATCCGCTCTCCCGGACCCCGCATGTTTCACTGGTATCCGCTCTCCCCGGACCCCGCATTCACTGATATCCGCTCTCCCCGGACCCCACATTCACTATATCCGCTCTCCCCGGACCCCGCATTCACTGTATCCGCTCTCCCCCGGACCCCGCATTCACTGTTTATCCGCTCGCTCTCCCCGGACCCCGCATTCACTGTATCCCCGCCCTCTCCCCGGACCCCGCATTCACTGTATGACCCCGCATATCACTGTATCCCCAGCTCCCCCGGAAACCCCCGTTCACTGTATCCGCTCTCCCCGGACCCCGCGTTCACTATATCTGCTCTCCCCGGACCCCGCATTCCCTATATCCGCTCTCCCCGGACCCCGCATTCACTATATCCGTCTCCCCGGACCCCGCATTCACTATATCCGCTCTCCCCGGACCCCGCATTCACTATATCCGCTCTCCCCGGACCCCGCATTCACTGTATCCGCTCTCCCCGGACCCCGCATTCACTGTATCCGCTCTCCCCGGACCCCGCATTCACTGTATCCGCTCTCCCCGGACCCCGCATTCACTATATCCGCTCTCCCCGGACCCCGCATTCACTGTATCCGCTCTCCCCGGACCCCGCATTCACTGTATCCGCTCTCCCCGGACCCCGCGTTCACTATATCCGCTCTCCCCGGACCCCCGCGTTCACTATATCCGCTCTCCCCGGACCCCGCATTCACTATATCTGCTCTCCCCGGACCCCGCGTTCCTATATCCGCTCTCCCCGGACCCCGCATTCACTATATCCGGTCTCCCCGGACCCCGCATTCACTATATCCGCTCTCCCCGACCCCGCATTCACTATATATCCGCTCTCCCCGGACCCCGCATTCACTGTATCCGCTCTCCCCGGACCCCGCATTCACTGTATCCGCTCTCCCCGGACCCCGCATTCACTGTATCCGCTCTCCCCGGACCCCGCATTCACTGTATCCGCTCTCCCCGGACCCCGCATTCACTATATCCGCTCTCCCCGGACCCCGCGTTCACTATATATCCGCTCTCCCCGGACCCCGCGTTCCCTATATCCGCTCTCCCCGGACCCCGCATTCACTATATCCGGTCTCTCCGGACCCCGCATTCACTATATCCGCTCTCCCCGGACCCCGCATTCACTATATCCGCCCTCCCCGGACCCCGCATTCACTATATCCGCTCTCCCCGGACCCCGCATTCACTATATCCGCTCTCCCCCGGACCCCGCATTCACTATATCCGCTCTCCCCGGACCCCGCATCCCCGGACCCCGCATTCGCTATATCCGCTCTCCCCGGACCCAGCATTCACTATATCCGCTCTCCCCAGACCCGCATTCACTGTATCCGCTCTCCCCGGACCCCGCATTCACTGTATCCGCTCTCCCCGGACCCCGCATTCACTGTATCCGCTCTCCCCGGACCCCGCATTCACTGTATCCCCTCTCCCTGGACCCTGCATTCACACACCAAACTGAGCACGTGCAGAATGACTCCACACAATGCATCTTATCAGGAGACAAGAGGGTGGCACTGGAAGAAGTGGAGGATCAGAGAAGACAGGATAAAACTGTTTTTTTTATGTAATGCAGAGGATTAACCCCTTAGGTCCCACAGTGAGTATACCCAGCATGCTTTAGTGTAGGTTCACACCTGAGTGTTTCCTGTTGTGTTTTGCAGAAACGCACATCAGTCCCTGTAACATGGTTTCCTGTGGGACACGTTCACATCTCTGCGTTTTTTGAAAAGGGTCAGGGACTTTTTTTTAAATGCAAAACATTGCGTTTTTGGTTCTTTGCAGACGCTGCAGAAAAGCATGAAGTGTGATTTTGATGCATTTTGTGTTTCATTCTGCCCAGCAACAAAAAACAACTGCAAACCGCATGAAAAACGCATGTGCAAAAAACCGGAAACCGCACTGCAGAAAGGCATTGAACGCAAAGGTGTGAACAGATCCTTCCGGCATCCGCAGACTGATGTCCCTGTTGTGGGTTCAGTAACATTTAAGTATCTGAATACAAAGATGCGATTTGTACTAAAAAATAGAAAAAACAAAAAACATAAAAAGTGAAGATGGAATCGCTGGAAGCCATTGTTGTGTCTGTGGATGGGTGGCTGGCGGGTGATGGGCACGGCAGGAGATTCTGCGCTCACACATGGCGTCTCAATGTTCTGTCCTCAGTGGGACCTCGTGCAGGATAATGAATGGAAGGTGCCGCTGGCGCAGATCTGCTACCTGATTGGCTGGCTGTTTGGTTACATCATATTCGGCTGCGTCAGTGACAGGTAGGTGACACCTCGTTGTTTTCATTCTCTGATGCCTCTTGCACACGGTACTGATGTTTTTTGCGCGTGCATTTGTGGGCGCAAAATATTTTCTTATTTAATTCATAATTTACAAAATAATACATAATTTATATCATTAATAACTTATATCATTTTCTTATATAATTCTTAAGGAATATTCATTCATATTTATACTCTTGACCTAAAAAGAGAACTTTTTTTTTTTTTTTCAGTTCTCTGCGGCGCTTCTTTGCGCTCCTGTGTGCACAGACACATTGTAAATAATGGGTTACGTTTTCACTCAATAAAAAAAAAAAAACAAAACAGTTTTTTCAAGCTCTGTCCGCGGGCCCCATGCGCACCGCTTCATCGCAGTAACTGCAGCGCAGAGTATTGCGCATACACTGCGAATGTACATTAATTGCGAATGTATTGACGCAGGGGTGTTGCGGCGCACCACAAGGCGTGGCAGCATGCTTCCGCACAATGCGCCTTACAGATCAGACTGACTTGCTTCGGGTCCATTTTTTCGTCCCACTTGCATGCGCTGGCGGCCCGTCTGCATACATGGACTACCTTAATGCAATGGGTGGGCAGCACAGTGGCTAAGTCGCTGGCACTTCCCCCTGGCAGTACTCGGGTCATTGGTTCAAATCCCAACCATGGCACCACCTGCCTGGAGTTTGCATGTTCTCCCTGTGCCTGCGTGGGTTTCCTCCGGGTACTCCGGTTTTCCTCCCACACTCCAAAGACATGCTGGGAGGTGAATTGGCTCCTGTCTACAATGGCCCTAGTATGTATGAATGTGTGTTAGGGACCTTAGATTGTACGCTCCTCGGGGGCGTGGCCTGATGTGAATGTACAATATATATGTAAATTGACGGCGCTATAGAAGGACCTGAAATAAATAAATAATAAATGGATATGTGCATTAAATGCGCCATCGCGGACGGCCCCGGCGTCTTAAAGCGCAAAATGTAAACATGGGCAAGCGGGCAGGATTTCTGCGCATTTAATGCACATCAGTGAACATCCATTGCATTACGGTTGTCCACATACGCAGAGGGGCCGCCAGCGCATGCAACTGCGACAAAAAATGCGTCTTTTCTGCATTAATGTTACTTACCCTGCCTGCCCCTCCCCCATGCAGTGAGCCGCACACATGCAGCTCTGGGTACAAATTCATCAGTGCAGAACTTATCGAATTCCGCATGCAGAGGAGTGATGTCATCCTGGCCCAGCCAATAAAAGCAGCTGTCAGTCGATGCCTGGAAGCCAGCTGACGGGGGGGGGGACTGGGACGCCGCATCGCTGGGCTGAAGGTGAGTAGAGTTCCGCTTTAAGGACCGGATCGCACTATAGAAACGCAGACCAGATGCATTCTGAATGCGTTTCCACATGCGCCCTTTTGATGTATTCTGGTGCATTTTTGATGCGTTTCAGTGCGGTTTTAGGCATTCGGATTCATTCTGTTTTTCTTCAGTTGTGGGTTTCTAGTGCATTTTTGGTGCGTTCTGGTGCATTTTTCCCCCTCTGTTTTTTTTTATTTTTCAATTTAAATAGGAACATGTGCGTTCTTGCGTTTTTGGGGCATTTTTGATGCGTTGCAGTTCATTTTTTTTATGCATTCCAGTTCACTTTTTCCCCTCTGTTTCTTCAGTTTAAATAGGGACGTGTGTTCCAATGCGTTTTTGGCGCACTCCAGTGCGTTCAGGTGCATTTTTGTTGCTTTTCATTGCGTTTTGTATGCATTCCAGTTAATTTTTTCCCCCCTCTCTTTTTCAATTTAAATAGTGACCCGTGCATTCCGGTGCGTTTTTGATGCGTTTTACCGCCTTTCAGTGCAGTTCTGTGCAGGAAAAATGCAGCCTGTACTATTTTTTTTTTTTTTTCTGCAACCGGAATGCAGCGGAACTGCAAGTCCTGATGTGAACTACGAGTTGGACAACCATAAAACCTACTTTCAGTGCATTTTGGATGCAGAAAAAAGGCAACTGAAACGCATGGAGTGTGAACCGGCCCTAAAGGCATCTGTCTTTGGATCTGCTGCCGACTTGCTCTGAAAATGAAAACTGCCTGGCTATCCTGCTGGTTTTATGGCACCTTGTCGGTGACCGGCAGCAAAGACGCAGATCAGGCACCGCGACCGCGCTGTCACTTCATAGGCCGCCTTGTTCTCAGTCAATGACAGCAGAGAATCCAGAGGGCAGCCAGGCGGCTAGAATTTTTAGGAGGTCCAGAAAGGGCTAGCCTTGCGTTTCATACACCTTTCATCATCTCGGAGGTTTGCGGTTGCCACGCCCCCTAGGAGCTTATTGGACATCCTATTCCAGTCCTATGGCCGTTATTAAAGAAGTGCCCAACCTGAGCCCCGGCATGACAATGGAGGAATGATGGGATCTGTAGTCTCATTACAGCTGGAGTGCTAAGGTTGGGGGCCCCGGGAGCGCGGCGTTCGCTGGACTGACTGCGGATACAATCGTTCCCCTACAAGGATCATTGCATTGTAAGGCTGCACAGCAATTCCAGGTGTTACCAGTAGGTGTCACTGCAAGTCGTGTCTGAAATAAAAGCTTCGAGTTCAGGATCCTGGGAGCCCAAAATCTGCGCTTTTCCAGGAAAATGATTCCTTTGGACAGTTTGATGTAAATGTTATTATTGGTGCATTTCTCACCGGCTGTCGTGTTTTTTTGTTTTTTACAGGTGTGGACGGCGCAATGCGTTCATCAGCGCCCTGGTGGTGGCGCTGCCCCTCGGAGTGGCGTTGTGTTTTTCCCCGGGATTCCTCACCTTCCTCCCCCTCCAGGCTGGTTTCGGAGCGGCTCTGGCCGGGATCTTCCTGTCGCTGTACATAGCCAGTGAGTGTGTTTACCATCCTGGAGGAAAGCTTCCAGCGTGGCTGGGCCCCCCCCCTCCCCCCACAACCTTGTCCCTTGGTGTTTTGCTTTGGGTGGGTGCCCTGCGTGCTGGAACTTTGTCATGGAGATGTGAAATGCAGGCGGGGGATGGGGCAGGGGATGTAGTCGCAGGACGATCGCCAAATTCACTCCGAGAGATTTCGTGTCCAAAATTAAATTGTGTCTTAAAGGAGCCAATCACATTCCTGCTCCGTGCTGGAGGGATGAGAGGGCTTTGTGCCGCGTTTAACAGGAAAAAAAATGAATACTTTTTTTGTTAATTTTTATTAAAATAAATACATAACGAATGTAAAATAACAGAAATCGAACATAATTTATACCTAAAATACATCGTTCGTCCAGATCCACCTTCATATCAGGCTGATGAATATCCAGAGATCCTAAACTACCAGTGAATGCGGGGTCCGGGGGGAGCGGATATAGTGAATGCGGGGTCCGGGGAGAGCGGATATAGTGAATGCGGGGTCCGGGGAGAGCGGATATAGTGAATGCGGGGTCCGGGGAGCGGATATAGTGAATGCGGGGTCCAGGGAGAGCGGATATAGCGAATGCGGGGTCCGGGGAGAGCGGATATTGTGAATGCGGGGTCCTGGGGAGAGCAGATATACGGTGAATGCGGGGTCCGGGGAGAGCGGATATAGTGAATGCGGGGTCCGGGGAGAGCGGATATAGTGAATGCGGGGTCCGGGGAGAGCGGATACGGTGAATGCGGGGTCCGGGGAGAGCGGATATAGTGAATGCAGGGTCCGGGGAGAGCAGATACGGTGAATGCGGGGTCCGGGGAGAGCGGATATGGTGAATGCGGGGTCCGGGAGAGCGGAATAGTGAATGCGGGGTCCGGGGAGAGCGGATATAGTGAATGCAGGGTCCGGGGAGAGCAGATACGGTGAATGCGGGGTCCGGGGAGAGCGGATATAGTGAATGCGGGGTCCGGGGGAGAGCGGGTATAGTGAATGCGGGTCCGGGGAGAGCGGATATAGTGAATGCGGGGTCCGGGGAGAGCGGATATAGTGAATGCGGGGTCCGGGGAGAGCGGATATATAGTGAATGCGGGGTCCGGGAGAGCGGATATAGTGAATGCGGGGTCCGGGGAGAGCGGATATAGGGAATGCGGGGTCCGGGAAGAGCAGATACGGTGAATGCGGGGTCCGGAGAAAGCGGATATAGTGAATGCGGGGTCCGGGGAGAGCGGATATAGTGAGTGCGGGGTCCGGGGAGAGCGGATATAGGGAATGCGGGGTCCGGGGAGAGCGGATATAGTGAATGCGGGGTCCGGGAGAGGGGATATAGTGAATGCGGGGTCCGGGGGAGCGAATATAGGGAATGCGGGGTCCGGGAGAGCGAATATAGGGAATGCGGGGTCCGGGGGAGAGCGAATATAGGGAATGCGGGGTCCGGGGAGAGCGGATACGGTGAATGCAGGGTCCGGGGAGAGCGGATATAGTGAATGCGGGGTCCGGGGAGAGCGGATACGGTGAATGCGGGGTCCGGGGAGAGCGGATACGGTGAATGCGGGAATGGGGTCCGGGGGAGAGCGGATATAGTGAATGCGGGGTCCGGGGAGAGCGGATACAGTGAATGCGGGGTCCGGGGAGAGCGGATATAGTGAATGCGGGGTCCTCTCGTTTTCTTTCCTCTCTCCCTTCTCCCCTCTCCCCCCCCCTCTCTCTCCCCTCTCCTCTCTCTCTCCCCTCTCCCCTCTCCTCTCCCCTCTCCTCTCCCCTCTCTCTCCCTCTCTCTCCCCTCTCTCTCCCCTCTCTCACTCCCCTCTCTCTCCCCCTCTCTCTCCCCTCTCTCTCCCCTCTCTCTCCCCTCTCTCTCCCATCTCCCCTCTCTCTCTCTCCCCTCCTCTCTCTCTCTCCCCTCTCCTCTCTCTCCCCCTCTCTCTCTCTCTCCCCTCTCTCTCTCTCCCCTCTCCTCTCTCCCCTCTCTCCCCCCCTCTCCTCTCTCCCCTCTCTCCCCCCTCTCCTCTCTCCCCCTCTCTCCCCCCTCTCTCCCCTCTCTCTCCCCTCTCTCCCCTCTCTCTCCCCTCTCTCCTCTCTCTCCCCTCTCTCCTCTCTCCCCTCTCTCTCCCCTCTCTCTCTCTCCCCTCTCTCCTCTCTCTCTCCCCCTCTCCCCTCTCTCCCCTCTCCCCTCTCTCTCCCCTCTCCCTCCCCTCTCTCTCCCTCCCCTCTCCCCTCTCCCCTCTCCCCTCTCCCCTCTCCCCTCTCTCCCTCTCCCCTCTCCCCTCTCTCCCCCTCTCTCCTCTCCCCCTCTCTCCGCTCTCCCCCTCTCTCTCCTCATCCCCCCTCTCCTCTCTCCCCTCTCCCCCCCTCTCTCTCTCCCCCCTCTCTCCCCTCTCCCCTCTCTCCTCTCTCTCCCCCCCTCTCCCCTCTCTCCCCTCTCTCCCCTCTCCCCTCTCTCTCCCCTCTCCCCCTCTCTCCCCCTCCCCTCTCCCTCTCTTTTCCCCTCTCCCCTCTCCCCTCTCTCCCCCTCTTCCCCTCTCTCCCCTCTCTCCCCTCTCCCCCCTCCCCCTCTCCCCTCTCCCCTCCCTCTCCCCCCTCTCCCCTCTCCCTCTCCTCCTCCCCTCTCCCCTCTCTCCTCTCTCCCCTCTCTCCCCTCTCTCCCCTCTCCCCTCTCAACCTCTCTCTCCCCTCTCTCTCTCCCCTCTCCCCCTCTCTCCCCCCTCTCCCCTCTCCCCCCCTCTCTCCCTCTCTCCTCTCCCTCTCTCTCCCCTCTCCCCTCTCTCTCCCCTCTCCCTCTCCCCTCTCTCTCTCCCCCTCTCTCTCCCTCTCTCTCCCCTCTCTCTCCCCTCTCTCTCCCCTCTCCCCCCTCTCTCTCTCCCCCTCTCTCCTCCTCTCTCCTCTCCCCTCTCCTCTCTCCCCCTCTCTCCCCTCTCCCCCCCTCTCTCTCTCCCCTCTCCCCTCTCCCCTCTCTCTCCTCTCTCCCCTCTCCCCTCTCTCCCCCTCTCTCCCCTCTCCCCCTCTCCCCTCTCTCTCTCCTCTCCCCCTCCCTCTCCCCCCTCTCCCCTCTCCTCTCCCCTCTCCCCCCCCTCTCTCCTCTCTCCCCTCTCCCCGCTCTCCCCCTCTCTCCCCTCTCCCCTCTCCCTCTCTCCCCTCTCTCCTCTCTCCCCTCTCCCCTCTCCCCTCTCTCCCCTCTTTGAGCTCTCATTGTGTTTCTTTTCCTTTCTTTGAATATTTGGGTTCCTTTTCATGTTCACCTTCCTGCCCCTCACATTGCTCTGCGTTCCCTGGGGGAGGAGACTTCTGTATTGGGTAGCAGGTGACTTCCTGCTGTTGGTGATTGGCCACTCAGTGGGGGATGGGGAGATCCCTCCACCCCGTGTAAGCTCTAAGTTGGGTCCTTACACGGGGATTTTATTCCTCGCTCAGGTAGGTGATCGGAATGGCGGGGAGGTGGGGGAAGGTGAGCAGCTGGGCCTTCCCAAGATTCTGCGACTGCGGCTCCACCACAACCTTTGTCATCTCTTTCTCTCTTTTCTTTCTCACAAGCTGGTCCTGGATGTAAGGGAAGTCAGGTAGGTGACCTTTGACACTGACAACGATGGCGGTACAACCTCTACCCAGGGGCGGACTGACAACTCATGGGGCCCCCGGGCAATAGGGGATCATGGGGCCCCTGTGTCCTTGCCCAAACTCAAAAAAACCTATGAAATATGTACCAGGGGCACCTCATGGGGCCCCCTACTGACCCCGGGCCCTCGGGCAGTGCCCGAGTTTCCAAATGGTCAGTCCGCCCCTGCGTCTACCCCTTCCACAACCTCACCGGGACCCGTATAAAACATTTAAAGTGGTTGTAAACCCTCCATATCCCCAGTGCAGTGACCGGCCTCTGAGATTAAACAAATCCTCCTACATAAGTTGTACCTGTTTCTCTGCAGTTTTCTGACCTCTACATTCATTCAAAGCACTGAATTTATAATGCTTGTCTGATATTTCAGAAAAAAAGGGGGCAGAGAGCTGACATTACATCAGTGAGGAGAGCTGTGAGAGCCGATTGGAGGGAAGAGACACACCCCCTTCACGCAGTAACCGAGCTAAGGCTGTCAATCGCAGGCTGTGCCCTCCCCCATATGGAAGAAAAATATATTTGAAATATATTTTAAAAATATTCTTCCCAAATATAATCACACATATTCGAAATGCTACAATTTTGGCCGTATTCAATATATTTCAAAATATATTTCAATAAATATATATATATACTGCATGCTGAAATGCGTTTTTATTACAAAATATATTAAAAATATTTTTTAAAAATGCATTTCAAATATACTGCATGTCTTTAAAAATACAAATCTGCATTTACAAATATATGTTAAAATGACTTTTTTTATATGTAAAAAAAAAATCTGAATATATTTAAAAAATATATATTTTTTATATTTTTAAAATATATTCTTCAGATTATTTTTCTTCCGTGTGGGCCCCTGTCACCATTTATCTCTTGGTGTCAGAAATGAGTCATGCTGATAGCAGAGGACGGAGGCAGCAGACAGAAATGACACTCAGTGCTCTGGACTGAGACAAGTACACACTAGAGAGGGATGTGCTTTGTTCATATTTCATGTCTGAGGTTTACAACCACTTTAAGGGAATTATGAGGGCTGCCAATGCTGACCTCCTTCTGAAAATGCAGTTGCTTGGCCATCAGTGCTGTCTAAAGCTCTGACCTGGAACAGGCAGATCAGGAGTTGAGACAGCCAGGCAAATAGGAGTTTCAGAAGGAGGTCACCGACATGGTTCTCAGCAGTCTGCTAGTGTTAGCAGTGCACAGGGCTCTGTGACAAAGGAAGATGGATCTCATCACACAGAGACTTTCCAGCAGGCTCTGCGCCTGATCAGAAGGGCTCACTATCGCCCCCTAGTGAAACCTTAAGCTCCCCACACATGGTACAATCTGATCATACAATCTCCTTTAGCTCTACCGACAACTATACCCGTTTGGTTACAAATTGATTACATTGTTTAGGTAAATCTTTCCATTGTGGGGTGTTGGTCATTGTAAAGCATTTGTCAGGTTTATGTCCATCTTTACACGGATTGCATGTCTCGGGTTGTGGAATTACCTCCCCCACCGATATTTCCCTTTCATTCCAGCAACTCACCTGCTCCTCCCATCTCCTTTCTCCCTATCCCAGGGCTGGAGCTTTGCCTGCCGGGTCGCCGACTTATGATAACGATGATTGCCGGCTTCTTCTGGCTGAGCGGAGAACTCCTACTGCCTGGCCTGGCTCTCCTGTGCGGTGACTGGAAGATCCTGCAGGGGGCGATAACTGGCCTTTTAGCCTTACTAATGAACTATTGGTGGTAAGTAAGAGAAGTGATCCCTTTAACCCCTCCCCCTCCCCAGGATCCCCCCCCTTCCCCCTCCACAGGATCCCCCTTTCCCCCTCCAGAGGATTCCCCCCCCTCCCCAGGATCCCCCCTCCCCCCTCCACAGGATCCCCCACTCCCCCTCCAGAGGATTCCCCCCCTCCCCAGGATCCCCCCTCCCCCTCACAGGATCCCCCACTCCCCCTCCAGAGGATTCCCCCCCTCCCCAGGATCCCCCCCCCCCTCCACAGGATCCCCCACTCCCCCCTCCACAGAGGATTCCCCCCTCCCCCTCCAGAGGATTCCCCCCCTCCCCCCCAGGATTTTCCCCCCCTCCCCCTCCACAGGATCCCCCCTCCCCCTCCAGAGGATTCCCCCCCCCCCCAGGATCCCCCTCCCCCTCCACAGGATCCCCCTCCCCCTCCCCAGGATCCCCACCCCCCTCCAGAGGATTCCCTCCCTCCCTCCTCCCCCTCCAGAGGATTTCCCCCCCCCCCTCCACAGGATCCCCCTCCAGAGGATTCCCTCTCCCTCCCTCCCCCTCCACAGGATCCTCCCCCCCCCCCCCCCCCCCCTTCCAGAGGATTTCACCTCCCCCTTCCACCTCCAGAGGATTTCACCCCCCCCCCCCCTCCGAGGATTCCGCCTCTCCCCCTCCACAGGATTTCCCCCTCCACAGGATCCCCACCTCTACTGGATTTCCCCCTCCACAGGATCCTCCCCCCCCCCTTCCAGTCCAGAGGATTTCACCTACCCCCTTCCACCTCCAGAGGATTTTCACCCCCCCCTCCCCCTCCACAGGATTTCCCCCTCCCTTTCAGGATTTCCCCCTCCCCCTTTCAGGATTTCCCCCCCTCCCTCCCCTCCACAGGATTCCCCCCTCCACAGGATTTCCCCGTCCCCCTCCACAGGATTTCCCCGTCTCCCTCCACGGGATTCCCCCCCCTCTCCCCCTCCCGAGGATTCCGCCTCTCCCCCTCCACAGGATTTCCCCCCCCCCTCCCACAGGAGCCCACCTCTACTGGATTTCCCCCCCTCCCCCCTCCACAGGATTTCCCCCCTCCCCTTCTTCTCCTTTAGGAACACTTTAAGAACTGCAAGCCGTTTGCTATGGTGGCTGATGTGAGTTGTAGTTTCTTCATTCACAGATCTCTGTGACGCGGCTGTGCAGGTGGAGAAATATGAGAGCAGCTGCGGGGGAAACATACCCCCCACCCACTGTCATGGAGAAGGGGGGCTCACAGGGTGCTGGAACATTCTATGTTATGCTGGAGCCTCCCAGCTCTTTAAGGGGTTCCTGATGCCAGGGGGACGGGGTTTCTGATGCCAGGGGGACGGGGTTTCTGATGCCAGGGGGACGGGGTTTCTGATGCCAGGGGGACGGGGTTTCTGATGCCAGGGGGACGGGGTTTCTGATGCCGGGGGGACGGGGTTTCTGATGCCGCAGGGGGACGGGGTTCCTGATGCCAGGGGGACCGGGGGTTCCTGATGCCGGGGGGACGGGGTTCCTGATGCCGGGGGGACGGGGTTCCTGATGCCGGGGGGACGGGGGTTCCTGATGCCAGGGGGACGGGGGTTCCTGATGCCGGGGGGACGGGGATTCCTGATGCCGGGGGGACGGGATTCCTGATGCCAGGGGGGGGACGGGGTTCCTGATGCCGGGGGGACGGGGTTCCTGATGCCGGGGGACGGGGTTCCTGATGTCGGGGGGACGGGGTTCCTGATGTCGGGGGGACGGGGTTCCTGATGCTGGGGGGACGGGGTTCCTGATGCTGGGGGGACGGGTTCCTGATGCCAGGGGGGTGGGGTTCCTGATGCCAGGGGGGCGGGGATTCCTGATGCCAGGGGACGGGGTTTCTGATCATCATGTCACCACCATAATTGATTGGAAAGCTCCTGATCACAAGTATAGATGGCGTTAGCTACGGGTCATTGTTCCGGGAGCGCGTTTCGGCACAGCTGTGTTTATATTCTGATCTATGTGGCTCTTGGTGTTAAGGCCCGCCCACCGAGAGGCCACATATATGTGTAGTGTCGGCGTGAACATACGGGGGTGACGTAAAGGGGAACGCAGCCTTTAAGCTGATAAATGGGTAACTTAATTAAACTTCATGACGTCAATCAGCATTATCAGCTCGTTGAGTGTTGGGGATGTTGTGACTGAGTTCTCCCGTAACGCCTTCTCTTTGCTGCAGCTGCAGGTGGCTCTTCCCAGAATCCCCCCGCTGGGCTCCTGGCTACACAGCAGGTCAGTCAGTTGAAGGCGGAGCTGTATCTGTTCGCCAGAGCTAATGGCGTGGACACGCGGGAGGACATGTCTGGTCAGGACAGTCTGTTTGCAGGTAATGACCATTTGCTCCAGGGGTAATAGATAACATGAGGTAATAGCGCCCCCCCACAGGTTGTGATATGGAAGTCTGCGTAGCACCCTAGGCTGACGCGTTTCGAGGGACGAGCCCTCTTCCTCAGAGCCCAAAGCAATGTTTTCAATCAAATTTCATCTCTGAGGATAAGGGTTCATCCCTTGAAACGCGTCAGTCTCGGGTGCTACGCAGATTTCCCACCTCGTGGCCGCAGAGGCGGTTTCTTCTGCATTTATTATGCGCCCGTCCAGTGTACAGGTTTGTGCGCAGATCACCTATTCTTTACCCATTTCCATAAATGGTGTTGCTGGTAATGCACTTGGCCGGTGCGCCCTCTCTCCTTCATTTTATTTTGGATCTTTTGATCAGCCTGCGGTGCTCTGCCAGTCCGTTCAGTTTGAACCTCAGAGTACCAAAGCGTGTATGTGAATGCTCAGCCGTCAATGAGAACGGGCCCCTAAGATCTAGAACACGCGGTGTAGTCCATGTTCTATTATAGGGACACGCGGGTGGGAATGAGGAACCCCGCAGGAAGCGCAGCCATCCTTTCCCAGGGGGCACCTGGAAGACACAGTGGACTTGATTTACTAAAGGTAATCCTACTGTGAAGTGGCTCTATAGTGAAGGGGAAGCTCTGCTGATTTATTTCATCCAATCACGTGCATGGAAAAAAAAAAATGTTTTTTTATTTTTCTTGCATGTGATTGGGTATTCTTTTCAAAGTGAAACTTCCCCTCATTTACGAAGCTCTGGAGTAACTGCTCTTGCAGTGTGTTTGCTGTTCGTAAATCAACGCCAATATGGCGGCAGTGCCTGGAGACTGGGCTGCCAATGGAATATATGTGTCACCGGTACAATAAAGTTGTGATTTGATACTTTCAATTTGTCTTTTTTACAGAAATAGACTCATTATGGGAGGGGTTCCCCCGGCCGCGGTATTACAGCATATGCAGGATCTTTAAGACTCGTCTTATATGGCGGAATGCTCTGATTCTGGGATTCACCACGTAAGTCTTTTACCATCCCCCACCCCAAAAAAGGCCGACAATTTTGAGAAAAAAAACAATATTATTGACTTTTTGCTATTGAACGTGTCCAGTAAAAAAATGTAAAAAATCTAATTTCATCATAAATTTAGGCCAAAATGTTTCCCGCTCCGTGTCTTCGCCAAGAAAAACCCCAATACGTGCAAATTAATTGGTTTACGTGAAAGTTATCGCGTCTACAAATGGCGGGATAGATACTGGGATTTTTTTTTCTTTTTTACTAGTAATGGCGGTAAACAGCGACTTATAGCGGGACTGCGACGGACATTCTGACACTGATGGGGGACTGACTTGATGTCACTGACATCCCCAGTGACACCAATACAGTGATCAATGCTAATAAAAAGCACTGACACTGTACTAATGGCACTGGGCAGGAAGGGGTTAACATGAGGGGACGATCAAAGGGTTACCTGTGTGCTGTCTGTGCTTTCCACTGTACGCATGCTGCTATGCAGAGCCATACAAAGCAGTGTGCTGGAGCTGACAGGGGAGAGATCTGTATTGTTTATTCACAGGACTCTCCCCCGTCGGTGATACTTGGCGATCGCCAGGTGCAGGCGAGTAATTGCCGGCCAGTATCCGGTGATTGACAGCCAAGGCTGCGAATGGCGGCGTGTGCACGCCCCCTACCCCCAACTGCAAAATCACACGTGTGTATATGTATATATACAGTCAGGTCCATAAATATTGGGACATGGACACAGTTCTAACATTTTTGGCTCTATACCACCACAATGGATTTGAAATGAAACTAACAAGATGAGCTTTAACTGCAGACTGTCCGCTTTAATTTGAGGGTATTTACATCCAAATCAGGTGAACGGTGTAGGAATTACAACAGTTTGCATATGTGCCTCCCACTTGTTAAGGGACCAAAAGTAATGGGACAATTGGCTTCTCAGCTGTTCCAAGGCCAGGTGTGTGTTATTCCCTCATTATCCCAATTACAATGAGCAGATAAAAGGTCCAGAGTTCATTTCAAGTGTGCTATTTGCATTTGGAATCTGTTGCTGTCAACTCTCAAGATGAGATCCAAAGAGCTGTCACTATCAGTGAAGCCATCATTAGGCTGAAAAAACAAAACAAACCCATCAGAGAGATAGCAAAAACATTAGGCGTGGCCAAAACAACTGTTTGGAACATTCTTACAAAGAAGGAACGCTCCGGTGAGCTCAGCAACACCAAAAGACCCGGAAGACCACGGAAAACAACTGTGGGGATGAGCGAAGAATTCTTTCCCTGGTGAAGAAAACACCCTTCACAACAGTTGCCGGATCAAGAACACCTCCAGGAGGTAGGTGTATGTGTGTGTCAAAGTCACCAATCAGAGAAGACTTCACCAGAGTGAATACAGAGGGTTCACCACAAGATGGAAACCATTGGTGAGCCTCAAACACAGGAAGGCCAGATTAGAGTTTGCCAAACGACATGTAAAAAAGCCTTCACAGTTCTGGAACAACATCCTATGGACAGATGAGACCGACATCAACTTGTACCAGAGTGATGGGAAGAGAAGAGTATGGAGAAGGAACTGCTCATGGTCCTCAGCATACCACCTCATCAGTGATCATGGTGGTGGTAGTGTCATGGCGTGGGCAATGTATGGCTGCCAATGGAACTGCTTCTCTTGTATTTATTGATGATGTGACGGCTGACAGAAGCAGCCGGATGAATTGTGAAGTGTTTCGGGAATATTATCGGCTCATATTCAGCCAAATGCTTCACAACTCATTGGACGCTTCACAGTGCAGATGGACAATGACCCAAAGCAGACTGCAAAAGACACCAAAGAAGTGGAATGTTCTGCAATGGCCAATCACCTGACCTGAATCCGATTGAGCATTTCACTTGCTGAAGACAAAACTGAAGGGAAAATGCCCCAAGAACAAGCAGGAACTGAAGACAGTTGCAGTAGAGGCCTGGCAGAGCATCACCAGGGATGACACCCAGCGTCTGGGGATGTCTATGCGTTCCACACTTCAGGCTGTCATTGACTGCAAAGGATCTGCAACCAAGTATTAAAAAGTGAAAGTTTGATTTATGATTATTATTCTGTCCCATTACTTTTGGTCCCTTAACAAGTGGGAGGCACATATGCAAACTGTTGTCATTCCTACACCGTTCACCTAATTTGTATGTAAATACCCTCAAATAAAAGCTGACAGTCTGCAGTTAAAGCACATCTTGTTTGTTTCATTTCAAATCCATTGTGGTGGTGTATAGAGCCAAAAATGTTAGAATTGTGTCGATGTCCCAATATTTATGGACCTGACTGTATATATATATATACAGGCAGCACAGTGGCTAAATGGTTAGCACTTCTGCCTGGCAGTACTAGGGTCATTGGTTCAAATCCCAACCACGGCCACCTGCCTGGAGTTTGCATGTTTTCCCTGTGCCTGTGTGGGTTTCCTCCGGGTACACCAGTTTCCTTCCACACTCCAAAGACATGCTGGTAGGTTAATTGTCTCCTGTCTAAATTGTCCCTAGTATGTGTATGTATGAATGTGAGTTAGGGACCTTAGATCGTACTCGGGGGCGGGGCCTTATGTGAACGTACAATATATATATGAACCACTAAGTAAATTGACGGCACTATATAGATACCTGTAATAAATAAATAAAATGTACCGTATATACTCGAAGTATAAGCCGACCCGAATATAAGCGAGGTACCTAATTTTACCACAAAAAATTGGGAAAAAAACTATTGACTCGAGTATAAGCCGAGGGTGGGAACACCAGTGGGAGAATCGTGCCTCATCATTAGTAACAGTGGAGGAATAGCACCCCCATTATTGGTGTCAGTGGAATAGTGCCCCCATCTTTGGTGTCAGTGGGAGGAATAGTGCCCCATCATTGGTGTCAGTGGGAGGAATAGTGCCCCATCGTTGGTGTCAGTGGAAGGAATAGTGCCCCATCATTGGTGTCAGTGGGAGGAATAGTGCCTCATCGTTGGTGTCAGTGGGAGGAATAGTGCCCCATCATTGGTGTCAGTGGGAGGAATAGTGCCCCATCATTGGTGTCAGTGGGAGGAATAGTGCCCCATCATTGGTATCAGGGCAAGGAATAGTGCCCATCATTGTGTCAGTGGGAGGAATAGTGCCCCATCATTAGTGTCAGTGGGAGGAATAGTGCCCCATCATTGGTGTCAGCGGGAGGAATAGTGCCCCATCATTGGTGTCAGTGGGAGGAATAGTGCACCATGATTGGCATCAGTGGGAGGAATAGTGCCCCATCATTAGTAACAGTGGGGGGAATAGCACCCCATTATTGGTGTCAGTGGAATAGTGCCCCATCTTTGGTGTCAGTGGGAGAATAGTGTCCCATCATTGGTGTCAGTGGGAGGAATAGTGTCCATCATTGGTGTCAGTGGGAGGAATAGTGTGCCCAACATTGGTGTCAGTGGGAGGAATAGTGCCCATCATTGGTGTCAGTGGGAGGAATAGTGCCCCATCATTGGTATCAGGGGAGGAATAGTGCCCATCATTGGTATCAGTGGGAGGAATAGTGCCCCATCATTGGTGTCAGTGGGAGGAATAGTGCCCCATCATTGGTATCAGTGGGAGGAATAGTGTCCTATCATTGGTGTCAGTGGGAGGAATAGTGCCCCATCATTGGTATCAGTGGGAGGAATAGTGCACCATGATTGGTGTCAGTGGGAGGAATAGTGCCCCATCATTAGTAACAGTGGGGGGAAATAGCACCCCATTATTGGTGTCAGTGGAATAGTGTCCCATCATTGGTGTCAGTGGGAGGAATAGTGTCCCATCATTGGTGTCAGTGGGAGGAATAGTGTCCCAACATTGGTGTCAGTGGGAGGAATAGTGCCCCATCGTTGGTGTCAGTGGGGGGGTGGAGGAATAGTGCCCCATCGTTGGTGTCAGTGGGAGGAATAATGCCCCATCATTGATATCAGTGACACCAATGATGGGGCACTATTCCTCCCACTGACACTTGCTGACCCCTGTTCCAGTATGGTGCTGCTGCAGCCAGCATATGTGGTTGCAGCAGCACCTAAGCACGGCACACTTACCTGCATCTCCTTCACTCGATTTTCGCGGGGCCGCTCAGCTCCGCCTCCTCGCCGGTGATTGGCCGCCTGTGTGCCTTTCCTGAGCTACAGTTCTGGCGGCCAATTACCGGTGAGAAGGCGGAGCCGAGCAGCCGCGCGAACATCCAGTGGATGAACCGAATGAAGGAGCAGCCCGCGCTTCCTGGACCGGATCGTCGTGGGACGGAGCCAGGTAAGAGACAGCAGCCCCCTGCCCACCCCTGTACTTACCGTAGTTTCCCTTCTGTTGGAAGGGGGGGGGGGAGCCATCTGCAGACGTTGACTCGAGTATAAGCCGAGGGGGCCATTTTTTCAGCACAAAAAATGTGCTGAAAAACTCGGCTTATACTCGAGTATATACGGTATATATATGTGATTTTGCGCAGCCGTGCCGCCCTGTAGCAGCATTTTTGTAATAGGGGGGTGTGCGGAAGCAGTTAATAAGATCCCTGTCTGTATTTATTATAATCTGCAAAATAGACAAAAATGTTTAAAAATGTAATCTTTGAAACTCGTAATTCTTTATATTAACCACATCTGGACCGCCCGCCAGCAGTGTACTGCGTGCAGACGGGTGGCCCGTGCAGGCAGAGCGACGTACTAGTACATCACCGCCTGCTTCCCGGTTTAGGGTGCGCACATACATGGTATTTTGCCCCCCCCCCCCCAAAAAAAAGTGATCAAATACAACCAAAAAGGCTGTATTTGTGTGGAAACAATGATATTACGTTTGTTTGGGCACAGTGTTGCATGACCGCACAATTACCAGTTAAATTAGCACAGTGCCTTTTGTAGCAAAATATAGCCTGGCCATGAAGGGGGGGGGGGGGGGGGTATGTGGTTAATAACCTTTTTTGTTATATACTGTATATGGCACAATGAGAGCTCAACCAGCTGATTTGTTTGCT